GAAAAATGTAAAAAAGAATGCAATATGCTTTAAATTATTCTGGTACAAGGTTTTTGTCCACTGAAAATCAAAATTATTCAATTTCCTGGTGGATTCCATCTTAAGGTCACGTGAGTAAAATAAGCAGTTATACAAACAATATGAAATAAGAAAACAGCACTGTACAACTGATCAACGGGTTAGTAAAGGCTGCCGAATCAGTGAAAGATTCCGGCAATTCTACTTTTTAACAAAAAGGTCAACTCTGCTAGTTAAAAACAGCAGAAAAACTAAGTTTCTGCATTCATTTTCCATAGAACAAAATGCAAAATTGTTACCTTTTTTGTCTGTGCTTGTCGTTTAGGTTAAAAGTTAAGAAAAGGTACCTTTTTTGAAAAGGAAGTCAGGTATTTTCAGCTTTCGAGTGAATGCTATTTTGACGTCAATATTGTCTGCTCTTCGTCCATTTTTCAATTTACCAAACGATGTTTTAAAGCGCAAAAGAGGTACCTTTTTTTCGGTTTCACGCCATCTCCTGAAAGGCACAAAAAAGTACCTTTTTTGCAGTTGGAAGCGATGCTCTCAAAAGTGCGAAAAAGGTACCCTTTAAAAAATATAAAATAGTATTTTCAAGCTTTTGGGAAGCCATTCAAAATCCTACTGATTGACATATGTCAACCGTTGGCACCTCTTGAGCTTCAATGAACGATGCACAGACATTTTTTAGGGGATTCTTGGTGATCCTGTTAAAATTGAAATGATCTACAAGGGGAATCAGTGGAGCAAAAACTTTTAGCTCACTTCTTTTAGCCAAGATCAAAAGCGAGAAACTAGAAGAAATCTGAAAATACTAGCCACCAGCCAAATGGATAAAATGGCTCCTGAAAATGTTAGTAACAACTCTGGTACTTTAAAACTAGATGCAAGAAGAGAAGCTCAGCAAGCGCAATTTTAAGCATGGAGCAAATACTTTAACCTGAAAGAAGTCCTACATGTAAAGCAAAGGTGTTCATTTTCCTTTTCCTTTAAGTCTAAACTAAATGGGTTCCGAGCAGGTCATATAACTGTCTTGTTTCGTGGGTGATGTTTTTCACTCCAAAAAGGTTATTAGAGACTTCTGTCTTGGGGTTATTTTTGTTTGCTGTAAATTATAAATTATATAAATAATTTAATTTCAGGCGTTTTTTGATCTAGAGGCCAAAGTAAAGCCATTTAACAATAAAAATGCCACCATACATGTACCCCTGAACCCCCTTACTAAATACTAAAGTAAACCTGAACAACTTTCCTCTTCTTAGACTTTTGTACAGTAAGCCAGCATTTTTGTCGAGACCTTTGGTGGAATTTCCCGGATTTTTTTTTTTTTCAGAGAAAATGAAAATTAGAAATTTTCAAATAGAAAATAAACTCTCAAGAGTCAAAATAAAAAATAAATGCAAATGCCACTGTCTGAACAATTGTCTTTTGGTGTATTAGACCATTAGCATACATTCTTGTTGTTTTAACACTTATACATATCATCATCGCATCATCGCGCATTTTAGTGAATTTTTTTAGGGTGAGCATGTTATTCGACAAAATGGAGCATTAAAGTAAAGCATTTTAGTGAGGAAACAAAAAAGCATTTTAAATGCCCAAGAGGACTGGCCCGGCTTCTCTTCGGGTTACTTATAACTGACACCTGTCGTTCATTGATAACCACTGAACCAATGACAATGCTTTCAGCTTCACTCCGACACTGATCAAGATGGCTCACACCCATGCCAAAATCAAGCAAGGGGGATAGATTTTAAAACTGCGAAATGACACTGTACATGTTACAGGGTCAAGCTCAGCAACTGGTTTCAAACTTGGCCGATAAACAGGGAAGATTTATCTCTCGACTAGTGGATTAGTAAATTCAGACAAAAAATTCATAAAAATGACACCAAACGGTTGACATCTGTCAATCAGTAGGATCCTAAATTGCTTCCCATGGCTTGAAAACACTATTAAAGGTACCTTTTTCGCACTTTTGAGAACATCACTTCCAACCGCCAAAAAGGTACCTTTTTCGCGCTTTTAAGAACATCGCTTCCAACTGAAAAAAAGGTACCTTTTCTGTGTCTTTCATGAGATTGCTTGAAAGCCAAAAAAAGATACCTCTTTTGCGCTTTAAAACATCATTTGGTAAAGTGAGAAATGGATAAAGAGCGGACAATATTGACGTCAAAATATCATTCACTCGAAAGCTGAAAATACCTGACTTCTTTTTCAAAAAAGGTACCTTTTCTTAACTTTTAACCTAAACGACAAGCATAGACAAAAAAGGTAACAGGTTTGCATTTTGTTCTAGGGAAAATGAATGCAGAAACTTAGTTTTTCTGCTGTTTTTAACTAGCAGAGTTGACCTTTTTGTAAAAAATTAGAATTGCCGGAGTCTTTCACTGATTCTGCCGGTACGCATTGCATGTTGATCATGATTCTCTGACTGTTAAAAAAACAACCAACCAACGATTGATTGCTTTATTCTTTTCTCCTTGAGTATTTGATTGATATTTCGGATAAAAACACCCTTCAGAAAAACCTGCCTTCTATTACTATTACTGACCCAATCAGAAAATCTCTCAGGCCAGCCCCATAAAAACCCTCATCGATTGAGATAAGCGGGGGGGGGGGGTGGTGGGGGG